TCCATATTAAAATTGACGCCAAACAAACAAATGTAAACAAAATTTCGCGCACTTTTTTTCTAAAGCAAGCTAAAAGTAACAGCTGATAACTGACAGAAGAAAGAATGCAATTACAGAGTCACAAGCCGTTGAAAAAATTTGTCAACGCCGACTATATGACAAATCCGCAATTACTTTTTGGGCTACCCAATAACAAGTTCACCGGATCTTTCCAACGAAGGTCTTCTTTTCCCCTGATACCACCGGCGTGTGCTGCGTGTTCTTATCCAATCGCACTACAGAACCTACCCAGCGTATCCGTTTTCCCTTGACTGATGTACAGCTCATCGTTCATTGGTTGCGGAACTAGCCGTTGCCAATGCGTTTAGGACCAGACGATGACTCATGAGATGTTGTTATTTTCCAGACTTTGTCCTTTGTTTATCGGGGGAGGACTTTGCTTTTGCAATTGGCTATTCAGTTCAAAGTAGCACCTGCTGGCAATAACGATTCTGCGTTTGATTTGCAGGCTGACATTGTTCTTGGTGTTAATACTGGTTCCTAGTTAAAGGAAATTATCTGCGATTTCAAACACTTGATTAAACACTGTTTGATGAGAAGATATTTCGTCTTGTCACTGCCGTGTTCACTTCCAGACCCATTCACTTTGCTTCCCTATCCGATCATAATAAAGCAGAACTGACGGCGAGGTTGTTGACGCCAATGATGTCAATCAAGGCTACCAGTTAAAGTTATGTCATACAATGCAATTCGGTCATATGAGAAATTAAGAACGGAAGAATCTGGTATAATTGACAGATTTTGCTGGCTGAGGAAAGTCCGAATATTGTCCAGCTCAAGTACTAATGAATACCAATGAATTTCCTTAAAGTACCGTATCACATATCTGTATATTAAGATCCGATTACAAATGCCGTAGTTAAAATTAAAAAAAAAAATTTAGATAGACCAACCCAAAAGTACGAGCCCGAAAAAAAATGTTTTTCAAAAATACTTTCGTTAGAAATTCTCTTGCCAGCAAAAAAGAAGGAAGGAGTGCTGACCGAAAGATGTTGTTCTTGAGATCAACTACCGCTCTGTATTTCAGCGGTAAACTACCGTCATTTGGTCAATAGAACACAAATTATTTGCCAATCATTAAATATTTTTTGTGGTGTTTTCAAAGTAAAGTCCAAAAACCACCTGGAGGACCGTAACAAGAAACTTTTTTGTCATCTGCGCACCACTTACACAGTGAAATATCTAAGCTTCAAGATAAGGAGAATTTCGGCTGAATAAATAATATCTACTGGGAAGCTATGAAATATCCTTGCACACACCTAGTGGGAACTGAACTACCCGCCAGAAACTAAACTATCTGCCTGAATCCCACCTAGCGAACTCCATTCAGCACGACATACCAGAACGTGCTACCAACCGCTCACAGAGAGTACGCCAACACTAGAATTCAATAACTAAAAATCCTTTAAACGCATTTCCTATAATTAACTTCAGCTCGCTGAACTCTCTTTTATATTTTCTTTGGCTGGAAAATAGTGCCTCGAAGTGGAAACTTTCAGTTACTGAAAGATAAAAAAGTAGACTGAAGCCATAACTACTTTTGATCAAAAATTCTTTTTACGCCGAGTTTCCTCTTTCAAAACAAAATAAATTGTTTACCGTCGGATGTTATGGCAAGATAAATAGAGTGCACCATGGTAACCAAAAAAAAAGAGTCAATACTGATTTGACCTTTGTTGGATTTTGACGTGGTTCTTTTGGTTTTCGCAAACGTGGAAGACCTATTCCGATGTTTTTGACTTTACCCGTATGCGATTGTTAGACCAGTTACAGTGCGGTCTGAATCTACTCACTTTAGGTTGCCCTCGAAGACATTTTCTAAGCTGAGTTTTTAACTGAAATCTCGGTGAGAACTGAATTTGATTGAGAGTAAAGTGCATTGTAAGCGGGATAATCAATTTATCTATTTCCGATCATTTCTTTGACTTAATAAGCTCCTTTTGTACTTGTCCTTCAACTGAGATAAGCCTAAAATTCAACAGACCCATGACCGAAAACCAGGTACAGTTCGGCGTATGACAAACTGGACATCCTGAAAATAGCGGTTCTCTTGCATTTGAACACTTGCCTCTTACACTGAATAGCTATAAACTTCCCATCAGCTATTATAAACTTAATTGAAATTAGGAGGCGATGGGGAATAAAGAGATTATTTTTTAATAAATTCGAGTCTTGAAAACTCCAACTTCTAAAATTATAGAAAAAAAAAATGTCTGATAGCGGTCGCCCTTCGGAGAATGTCAATCTCTTTAAGTATTTCTGTTAGACCGACTGATGAAAAATCGTCAAAACCTTAAATTGGAGATTGGTAATGAATCGCCTACACTGGGTAAATCTCGACGGAATTATTTTTTTTATTTTTTTCGACGAACCCAGCGTTACCCACCTCCCGCCCAACCGACCGAGGGGCGCGTCTGAGGGAAATCGAAAAATCCAACAGACCGGTGACCGAAAACCAGTAACAGTCCGGACTGCACTGAACCCGAAACCGATCGCGGAAGATCGCGGTTACACTTGCCTCTTACACTAAACAGCTGGAGATTTGTTCATCAGTTGCTATAAAATTGCGTGGGGAAGAGTAGAGGGAATTTATTTAATTATTTAAAGCACTTAGTAAGTAGATTTTGATACAGAAAAGCAAGTTAGGGGAATCAATGTTGGTGAAATGTGTGTTAAAATCGTTACACAAAGATCTAAAAGGGTCGTGCGTTTCAAAGTTTGTTCTGCACGAGCCCAATGAAAGGGGACTAAAGTGTCTAGATGATCTTAACTAGATGGTAAAGTTAAGCTCGCTAAGTAGGAATGGGCTATTGATAGCACCTCTTATCAATTTAGTTAAAAATAAAACTCCAAGCGTCATTCTACGACAATGGAGTGTAGGTAGATTAAGCAGCTGTAAACGACTTTTGTCAGAAGGCAGGTTCTTGTTCGCATCCCAGTTTAAATTTCTTAATGCGAATAATGGGAATTGCTTTTGTACAGTTTCCAATTTATCACTATAAAATTGATAGTACGGACTGCATACAACAATGGAGTTTATTACTTTCATTTTCCTCTACCTTTTCGGTTACTGATGATTGAGAGAAGTATTGACTTGGCTTTAACTTCGCAGTCTTTTAAGACTTCACTTTTTCGGTGCCTCAATCTGTTTGTAAATGTAGTGGCTACTCACAAATCTGTTAAGATGGAAACTCCTTTCAAATTCACTGATATCAAAAATGACACACATCACATTCAATTGTATGAACATTTTCAAATATCACACCTCACATTTGTGCATTTTGTTAAACTGATTGAATTGTGTGTTTCTGTCACTATTAGAATATCGTAAGCAACAATCTTGAATTTAGATTGTATGTTGATGTGTTATGTCCACTCTTATCTACATATATCAGTGTATAATTTCATAGCTTCAATTGTAAAAGCAATTCATATATATAATATAATACATATATGCTTCTACAACAAATATACCACGATTGTAAACAGATGCATACAAATAAATATATAAATTTGTAAGTGAACATGACTACACTTACGGTTTACATAATTAAAGGAATAAAAAAATTAACAACTAATATAATGTTAACATTTGAACATAAATAGGCCTATTCTGTCGAGGCAACAAAATTTACTTAGGCATTAAAATTTACCATTCAGTAAATTTTGTTACCATTTCGTATTCTGAGTTCACTGTTACCCTGTAAATTTTGTTACCAGCGAAAAAGGAGGTAACAAATATATCTGCTGTTTGATTTTGTGTTGTAAGTTTGAGAAAAAATAAAAAACCAAAATGAGTTGGCATATTTTAGGCCTGGAATTCATTGGAGATGAAGAAAAAAGTGCAAAAAGTCGTATTCTAAGAAGTTTTTGGCACTAAAAAATAGCCTTTTAATTTATAAGATAACGCTTTCATTCACCTTTTTTTTGTTGTCCAGGCATATTTTCCTTAATTGGGTTCAAATATTTATGATTTAATAAACAAATTAATATAAAACTTTTTAATTTTTTTGTGCACCGTCTTCCAATTCGAAAATGAATATTTTTCTTTTTACTTTATCAACTGGCAAATGTAATTTGACATGGACGAAAAAAGCAGTGCTGCCAAATTTTTTTCAAACATTGTAACCAGTTCGCCAGAATACCAAATTCAATTTCGGGTGTTAAAGAAAAGTAGCAAAATTTACTTTACCGGTAACAGTGAGAATAGGCCTGAAAGAATCGATATTATTTTTAGTTTAAGTCAGTTTTGGTTTGTGGACAGAAATTAAATTTTATGAACACAAATCAGCAGTTTTTCTACTTGCTAGCTTTTACTGACACGATTTTCCAAC